TTTTGTTTTGTTTGTTTGTTGAAACAGGGTTTCTCTGTAGAACAGAGCCCTGGCTGTCCTGGACTCACTTTGTAGACTCAATTGCAGATTTGTATTGTTTTTACTTATTTGTGGGTGGAGGTCAGAAGATAACTGGTCAGAGTAATTTTTCTTTCGCGATATGGTCATGCCATTGAGCTCATATATTCAAGCTTGGTGACAAGCAGCGTTACCTAGCTTGCTGTTCCAGTTTCAGATTATCAGCACTTTTTGTTGTTGTTGTTGTTTTTCGGTGATTTTTGAGATAGGGTCTCATTGTGTAGTTCTGGCTGGCCTGGAACTCACTTTATAGACCATGCTGGCCTCCAACACACAGAGATCCACCTGCCTTTGCTAGAACTAAGGACAAGCAACACCATGCCTAGCTAAATCGTGGCTTAAAAAAGAAAAAAAAATTCAAATACATGGAAAGTGGGGCACAGTGGTATATACTTGGAGTCCCAGCCCTCAGGAAAGTCAGGTGGGAAGACTGCTACACGTCTGAAACCACACTGGCCAGTGTGGTGAGACCTGGCTGAAACAGCAGGTGCTCGATGTCTGTGGAGTGGAAAGTGACATTTACTATTGACTGCCTTGTTTCACTTAACTCTGCCATGTGTGAACGGGATCCTATGTGATGTGGTGTACTGTATAACCCTTATGTGAGTGCAGAAATTGTATCCGAAAGCATGTCACTGTGGAAAAAAACTTGGGCTTTGGCTTTCAGTAGATCTCGGTTCAAATGGTGTGGCATTGGGCCAGCTGGACTTTTTAAAAAAAAACAAAAAACTTATTTAATGTGCATTGGTGGTTTGTCTGCATGTACGTCTGTGTGAGGGTGTCAGATCCTCTGGAACTGGAGTTACAGACAGTTGTGAGCTGCCGTGTGGGTGCTGGGAATTGAACTCAGGTCTTCCTTTGGAAGAGCAGCCAGTGCTTAACCTCTGAGTCATCCCTCCAGGCCTGGACCAGCTGAACTTAATCCGAGCATTACTTCTCTTCACTGCAAAGGGAGGCTATTAATAGACCATAGCCAGCTGTTGGCGTTAAATGTGATGATGCAGGAAAGTACTGGTGTAGACAGCACACACATCCTGAGAATGTTAGCTCCTTTCCTCCTGGACTACATATCTCCTGGACCCCAAGTGCCTGGCATGCAACACCTACGTAGCTGATGATGCAGGGTATGAGCAGTTGGGTTTAAACACTGGGAGCAGGGCGGCGGTGGAGAAATAACAGCCTCCTCCCATCCCTTAACCCCTGCCAGGTGTATAATGAGTTCATTCTGCCCTCGGAGCGAGATGGATTCTTGAGCCGGATCCGGGAGATTATCCAGCGAGTGGAGACCCTGCTGAAGAGAGAGCCTGGTCCCCAGGAGGCTGCTGAAGATGCCCCAAGACCCCAGGTCAGGCTTTTAGACCTCTCCAGCAGGAAGAGACTCTGCCCTCAGAGGTCTGCTTAGACTAACTTCTCTTGATCTTGAGGACCTTAGAACTGGCTTTTACTCTGTGTAAAAAGATGATGAGAGCCGCACACGCTTGCTCCAGAAAACTGTGAATGACTACTTTTAACTCAGTATTTTGAAATAAGTGCGGGCTTGCAAAAAGAAATTGCAAGAACTGTAGAGCACATTCCTAGCAGCCCTTTGCGCAGATTTGCCAGTCATTTACATAATGTATGTAAATATATACGTACATATACATATATATTGAAACTAGCTTTCCCATTCTTCCTCTGTATTGTATGTTATGTTCTTTTGACCATGAGAGGTTGGCAGCTCTCATGCCTCTTTTCCTCCACATATTTCAGCATACACATTTGAATCCCAAGAAGCTCGGGTCTGGATTCCTAGAGGCTCATGGGTCGTAGCTTAAGAATCCCACTCCGTAACTTCCTATCTGTGACTCGGCTTTCCACTGTGACTAACGGCCCCATTTCTCCCTCAGGAAGAGCCAGCAGCCCTGCCAGCCCTCCCAGGCCCAGCCAATGGTAAGTTCTGTTCCCGCTCATCCCAACCTGTGGGCTGACCTTGTGGAGGGTCTAGGCCATGGTGGTCTGGAGCCTCAACCTCCCCTCTTCACCAGAGCCCCAGAGGAGCACCTCCCCGGAACAGAGGAGCTGGGCCGCCTTCTCCACCACTCCATCTTCTCCTGGAACCCCCCTGTCCCCTGGAACCCCATTTTCCCCTGGGACTCCTCCTGTCTTCCCATGCTCCATCTTTCCCATCACTTCACCCTCATGCCATCCCTGCCCATTCTCCCCAGTCTCCTCAAGCCTCTGTCCACAGGCCCCCATCTCCCCTCTCCTCTCCTCCTCCGGCACTACTCAGTTTCCACTCCCATCTTCTCCTCTTCCCACGAGTTGTCTCCCCACCAGCTCTTCTCATCCATTCTCTTCTAGTTGTTCCAAAGTCACTCTTAACCCCCCTTCTTTTCCTGCCTGTCCCTCTCCTCCTCCTCCTCCTCCTCCTCCTCCTCCTCCTCCTCCTCCTCCTCCTCCTCCTCCTCTCCCCTCCACCACAGCAGCCCCTCTCCTCTCTCTGGCTAGTGCCTTCTCTCTGGCTGTGATGACTGTGGCCCAGTCTCTGCTGTCCCCCTCCCCTGGGCTTCCTTCTCAGTCTCCTCCGGTGCTGCCGGGTCCTCTGCCGAGCCTGCCCCTTCCTCTTGCTTCTTGTGCCCAGGAGAGCCTTTCACCCCAAACAGCTGAGACAGAGAGCAAGGTGAGTACTGTATGAAGAGGATAGATAATACGGGTGGGGCAATGGCTTCTGGAGCCCTCCCTTCCTCACGGTACCACTCTTTTGCAGGCCCCCCAAAATCCCGCTCAGCTGCTGCTCAGTGAAGCTAGGCTGGCACCCATCTCTGAAGGTGAGGCCTCTAATCCCTGACCTTCCCCCTGCCTGTTACCCCCAAGGCATTTCTTTATATTCTGCTAGATTTCTTTCATGCTCCTCATTTCCCTCGTCTTTCTGCAGAGGGAAAGCCCCAGCTTGTTGGGCGTTTCCAAGTGACTTCATCCAAGGAACCAGCAGAGCCTCCCCTACAACCAGTATCCCCAACTCTCTCAAGCTCCCTGAAACTTCCAACCCCTCAGCTGACCTCAGAGAGCTCAGACACAGAGGACAGTGCTGCAGGAGGACCAGAGACCAGGGAGGCTCTGGCAGAGAGCGACCGTGCAGCCGAGGGCCTGGGGGTTGCAATCGAAGAGGAAGGGGATGAAGGGAAGGAACTCCGAATCAGGGGCAGTTCTCCGCTCTTGAGCCACCCCAGCCCAGTGTGGATGAACTACTCCTACAGCAGCCTATGTTTGAGCAGCGAGGAGTCAGAGAGCAGTGGGGAGGATGAGGAGTTCTGGGCCGAGCTGCAGAACCTTCGGCAGAAGTGAGTCTGGGGAAGACAGCAGAGGTTCCTAGAGCGAAACCTGGGAGAACCAAGTGGGTAACTAGCCTTTCCCTGCCCTCAACGCATCCTCAGGCACTTGTCGGAAGTGGAGGCACTACAGACCCTACAGAAAAAGGAAATCGAGGAGTTGTACAGCCGGCTTGGGAAGCAGCCCCCACCTGGTATCGTAGCCCCTGCTGCTATGTTGTCCTGCCGCCAGCGCCGCCTCTCCAAGGGTAGCTTTCCCACCTCCCGCCGCAACAGCCTGCAGCGCTCCGATCTCCCTGGCCCTGGTGAGATGGCAGCCAGCCCGCTCTCATCCTTCCCTTGAGATTCCTTCCTTATCGAGACAGACTTTTTCCAGGCCCTGGCGGTCCACCCTTGGTTCTGGGGGACTAGCCCCCTCCTCACTGTTCCTCCCTTCACCTAGTGCTCTCTCCTTCCCTCATCCTGCTCCCAGGCATCATGCGAAGGAACTCTCTGAGTGGCAGCAGCACCGGCTCCCAAGAGCAGCGGGCAAGCAAGGGGGTGACATTCGCCGGGGATGTTGGCAGGATGGTGAGGGCGGGCCCAAGGGAGGGAGAGCCCAGGGGATGGTGACTGGCCGCAGCTTTGCCTTGCCTCCCTTTTGGACATTTCTTCAGCATTTTTCTTTTCCCCTCCAGTGAATTCAAAACAGAAGTCCTATGTCTCCCCAACACCAGGGCCCACCATGGCACTTGGGCTCTCAGAACCTGATGCTTTTGTGACCAACTCAACTCAGCAAAGAACACCCCAGCACTGAGAGGGTAGAAGGCCTATGGGCATGGAGAATGCGGTTGTGTTATCCTGAAGAGTCAAACATGTGGGAACTCTTTGCTGTGTGGAAATGTCATTTCTGTAGCCTATCCCACCTTCATCTTCTGTTCCTCCCCAGGCAAGGGCCAACCACTAAGCAGTCCAACAAATGTCCAGATGCTCGTAGAAGGCCAGCTTTCAGCTGGCAGAGCGTAGGAGAGCGTAGGAGGTGTACTCACACCACCAAAGTTAACAGCATCCAATAAAAATACTTGGAAAAGGGACTGTGCCTCTGTATCTGCATCGCCCTGGGAACTGGGGGCAAGGACACATGGGTCAAGAAAGGTGAGGATCTAGAAGCCATTCTCATAATAGGAGGCAGGATGGAAGCTGCCCAGCTTTCTGGCTTTTTGCCATCAGGTCATGAGGAAACTACATGACCAATGATCCAATGACCAAGCTATGATCCCCTCCAGACCCCACCCTAGGCCTGTATAGGCAGGTACCAGTTATTGCTAAAAGAATGAAGTTACTCGTCTGTTCATCCTTCATCAGCCAATCTACGGACAGGAAAAGGCTGTGACATTAGAGTCTGTTCTTGAAGGCAGAGAACAGAAGAGTGACCTTCCTCCCCACTAAGGCTTGGTCCAGTCCCAAACAGTCCAGTAATCTCTCCCTTAAATCAGGTGGAAAGATCTCACAGAAAAAGTAATTCTAGTTAAACATTTACAGCTCCCTGGGGCAATGCCACCACTGCAGCTACTGCCAGGGAGCTTTCCAGCGTGAAGTGCCATGTGTCTCTCAGCCCCCACACACTAGCTTGACTTCAGGAGAGATGACTCATTTTATTACTCTTAACTTGACCCTATCTTTCCGGCTTTAGGTTCCAACTCTGCATAAGAGTTGGGCTCCTGGGAGGTGAAGGGGTAAACCACAACGTTTGGGAAAGGCAAGGTCGCATACCTCTCAAACAAGGAAGTAAGAAGGGCTGAGTAACTGTACAAACTGCATGTGAAATGAACAATCCCCCTTTGGCAGTGGCCAAACGCAGTCTCTGGCTTCTTGGGCTCAAACATGGTCCAAGTTAGTAAGCCAGTGATGCTGTGAGATCACCGGGCATCATTCGACACGTACAGGGCTCCAGCAGTTTGAAGACGGTCCGTACAGTTAGGGTCCGGACGCTCTCTCCCTCTCAAGAGCGCGGGCTCGGGCAGCTTTGGCTTCATCTTCCAGCTCATCAAGGAACCGCTCCTGGGCCACTGAGTAGAAGGTGTAACCATCTGGCAGGGTGGGTTCAGGAAACCACAAAGCATATAGGCATTCCTTTCTTGTACCACCCTTGTTATTCACCCATTTAGAGTGTCACCTTTTTGCTCTTTTTGAATCTTTAACTCGGTTGTTATTACTAAACCACTAAGAGCAGCGTAGACAGTAAGATTAGGTATTAACCCCATTTCCCCGCACATTAAAAGCTACACGTCTTGTTTCCTTTTCCCCATACGCGGTATAACCACCAGGACGGATACAGATAGCTAATACCAGAGCCCCAATGCCCAGGCCGGTCACGATGTTCCGGATCCGCCGCTGAGGCAGTGTTTTCTGCCACTGGGAGAGCTGCACCTGCCGCATAAACTGCAGCTGCGCAGGGGTCAATTTCTCCCGCGACGGGTCAATGCGCTGAGCGAATGGAGCATTTTCGTTCTTAGCATCCAGAGGGTCACCAGCTCCAGGAGCCGACATGTTGCTACTCCGCCCTAAAGCCGTGGAGTCCGGAACGGAACACGCTGGGAATTGTAGTCTTTGACCTCCGCAAAGGCCTCTGGGAGTTGTAGTCCGCGTGGAGTTTTCTGGGTAGAAGCCGGGTCTCCGCCCTAGAGGAAGGGCAGGAATGGCGAGAAGCGGCTGTCTTTTCTGATTGGCTGAGCGTTCTGTGGCAGTTGGGGCGCGAAAAGCTGGTGACAGTTCGAGGCTGTTGAGGGAATTACGTTTTCCTCAGATTCAGATTCGAGGCGAGGACAAACCTACAGGAAGGAAAGGAAGAATCCAAGGTGTGGCAGAAGATTCTGAAAACAAGCCAAAGAAGCCAGTTTATGGATCCCGTGAACTGTCCAAGTGCTCCGAAAGACTTCTGAATATGGAAGGACCCTTGAGGCCAAGACCTACTAACCCCAGTGACTTCCAGTTTGGAGTGGTTGCCACAGAGACCATCGAAAATGCCCTTCTTCACTTGGCCCAACAGAATGAGCAAGCAGTAAAAGAGGCTGCGGGACGGATGGGCAGCTTCAGGGAGACCCGAATCGTGGGTGTGGATGCAAAGTGGGGGAGTCGGGCTTATGGGAGTCTTGGGAACACTAACCTTCTCCACCCAAATGTATTTTGTTACTTCTCCTCTTATGCTAGGTCGTGGGGATTATAAGTGAAGAACGAAGCTTATCAGCACTCTTACTCTTTATTTCTCTCTCCCCTTACCCCCTTGTCCTTTTTTTTTTTTTTTTTTTTTGAGACAAGGTCTCACTGTAGAGCCCTGGCTTATAACTCTGTCTATAGCCCAGGCTGGCCTCAAACTCAAGAGATAAACCTGCCTCTGGCTCCCAAGTACTGGGATTAAAGGCACATAGTATCATGGGGAGTTTTCCCCTTTTGTTTGTTTGGTTGGGTTTGGGTTTGGGTTTGGGTTTCGAGACAGGGTTTCTCTGTGTAGCCTTGGCTGTCCTAGACTCGCTTTCTAGACCAGGCTGCCCTTGAACTCACAGAGATCCACCTGCCTCTGCTTCCCCAAGCGCTGAGACTACAGGCGTGCGACACCAGGCTCGGCTCTTTTTTGTTTTTTATGCTTTTTTAATTTTTATTTTTATGTGCATTGATGTTTTGCCTGCATGTACGTCTGTGTGAGGGTGTCAAATCCACTGGAACTGTGAACTACCATGTGGGTGCTGGTAACCGAATCCAGGTCCTCTGGAAGAGCAGCCAGGGCAGGGCTTCTAACTGCTGAGGCACCCCAGCCCCTTACTCTTCCTTTTGTAAACGTGTTTATTAGAGTGCTTATTATCGACATAGCCTGGCATACAAAGATAAAAGCACAATATAGCCATTGCTCTCAAAGTATGTAGTCTTTGGGTTGGAATATTAAACATATGAAACAAGGAACAAGTAGGTGCAAGTATGGTTGGAGTAATGGCGTAGAGAATACAAGCTATTTTATGAGAATTTAAAGGAGAACAGGGCATGGCAAGGATGGATGCAAAACATCCCAGAGGCAAAATCTAGAAGCCCAAATTTTCATTTAAGAAATGAGGAAGGAAAAGATAACTGCCAAAGGGCTGAGCCTCAGAGACGGGGAGCAGAGTGGTGCCATTAAGAGCAACACATCCACACACAGGATACAAAAAAATAAGGAAACATGACCTTTGTTTTGGGGAAAATTGTTTGATTTGGATCTACTGAGTTTAAGATATCTGAAGAACATCCAGAGGAAGGTCAGCAGTGGACTGTTTAAAGGTCAGAGCTAGAAATTAAACTATTTTACTTACTTTCATGATACTCCTAGAAGGAGAGAAGAGAAGCATGTCAAGGGCAATTCCTTGGGAAACATTTTGTGCTCAGGGAAATGGAACAGGAAAGAGCCATCGATACAGTGATCTGCATGGTGGCTCGTGCAATAATCCCAGGACTTAAGAAGCTGAGGCAGGAGAATTGCAAATTCTAGGCCAGTGTGAACAACATAGTGAGTTCCACATAAGTCTAGCCTGAGATACACCCATATCCTGTCTCAAAAGCAAAACTAAGGTGTTGGAGAGACGGCTCAGCAGTTAAGGTTTAGTTTCCAGCACCCACACCCAGGAGGCCCAACATGCTCTTTTTCTCTCTTTTTTTTTTTTTTCCTTTTTCTTTTGTTTTTTGAAACAGGGTTGGCTTTGGCTGTCCTGGACTCATTTTGTAGACCAGGCTGGTCTGGAACTCAAAGAGATCCCCTTGCCTCTGCCTCCCTGAGTGCTGGGACCAAGAAGCTCTTTCAGTCTCTGCAGACACTTGCACGAATGTAGTGTACATACATGCATACATAACACATACATACATACATACATACATACACACACACATACACATAAAATAAGGAACTGGAGAGAAGACTGAGTAGTTGAGAGCTCTTCCAGAGGAACCATATTGAGTTCCCTGCATCCAGAGGCAGCAGGTCACAACTGCCTCTAACTCCAGCTCCAGGGGATCCAGCAACTTCTTCTGGCCACCAAAAGTGCTGTGCAATACACACAATTTTTTTAAAAAATTATTTTCGAGATAGGGTTTCTCTGTGTAGCCTTGGCTGTCCTGGACTCAGTTTGTAGGCCAGGCTGGCCTCAAACTCATAGAGACTCACCTGCTTCTGCCTCCCTGAGTGCTGGGATCACAGGTGTCCACCACCGTGCCTGCTTTTAAAAAAATATTTTTAAGAGTACAATAATGAACAACAACAAAACCCCACCAACAAACAGTAGTTCGGGAGGCAGGTACCAAACGTCTTTTGAAGCCAACAGGAGAGTTTTGGAAGGATGGTGGTCATCAGTTTCAGATGTTTCCGGGGTACGAGCAGGGCGGAAGGCTGGAAGAGGACCGCTACTTCACGGTTTGGAAGACTTGCTGCCTTTTGATGTAATCATCTTAGCAAACTGGGAAAAGTGGAGGGCAAATTGCGGAAACTTCAGGGAGAGGATGATGAAATGGAAGTAGCAGGTATGTAAATGGAGCCTTAGAGGAATTCAGCAGTGAGGAGATGCAGAGGTGAAGCTGTGTCTTAGAAACTGGAACATCATGTGTGTGGTAGTCCATTTTTGTATGCAGTAGAGCATGGAGTAGGTGAAGCCAAGAGCAAGATGTGACTATAATTCATTCTGCCTAGATCAAATTCAGTTTCCTTTAGAAACTAAAATAAAAATAAATAAATAAAATGACTCCCCAAGTAAGTCTCAAGAAATCCAAAACAAGGATCAAAGATCTGAGAACATGCATCTCGTGAGCTAGGAAATAAAATCTAAGGTCCAGCAAATAAAAGGTCAAAGGTTTGGCCGATAACAGATACTTTTTTTTTTGTTTTGGGTTTTTTGTGTGTGTGTGTGTGTGGTTTTGTCTTGTTTTGAGACAAGGTTTCTCTGTGTAGCCTTGGCTGTCCTGGACCAGGCTGGCCTTGAACTCACCGAGCTCCGCCTGCCTCTGCCTCCCCGAGTGCTGGGATCACAGGCGTGCGCCACCACATGCAGCTTCATTGACAGATAGTTGTGTTTAACTCTTTTTCCTCAATAGAAATTGTTAGCTAGGACCGTGGTCTTTGTAACAAGGCTTTATGTATGAGTCTATTTGTAATTTGTGTTAAGTAAATTACAAAACTGTCTTGTGACAGCTTGACTCTAGTGTTTTGTGAATTTAAAAAACTTTTTTTTCTGGGGGCTGGAGAGATGGCTCAGCGGTTTAGAGCACTAGCTGCTCTTCCAGAAGTCCTGAGTTCAAGTCCCAGCTACCACATGGTTGCTCACAACCACATATAATGTGATCTGATGCCCTCTTCTGGCATGCAGGTGTAAATACAGATAGAACACTTACAAAATAAAATAAATAAACGAATAAATCTTAGAAAAAAAATTTTTTTCTGGCCTGGCACAGTGACACAAGCCTTTAATCCTAGCACACAGAGAGGCAAAGCCGGGTAGATCATTGAAAGTTCGAAGCCAGCCTGGTCTACAAAGCAAATCCAAGACAGCCAAGGCTACACAGAGAAACCCTGTCTCAAAAAAACAAACAAACAAACAAACAAACAAAAACAAACAAAAAAAAAAGCAAAAAAAAAAAAAACCCACGTTTTTCTGAGACCAGGTCTCATGTAGCCCAGGCTAGCCATTACTTCACTATGTGAGGATGTCCTTGAACTCCTGACTCCTCCTCCACCTGCTGAAATTACGGGCATTGCCATCATGCCTGATAAATTGTTTTTCTTCTAAGAAAGTCAGATTTTCTCGGATGCCCACTGTGTCATTTCTTGCTGATCAATGATAAAAGTTCTCAGCTCTTCAGTCTTCTTCCTTGAGAGCTGACATTTACCCTGGTTTCCACCCTCTAACGATATTGCAAGCTAAATAGAATTTTATCTGGGGCTGTTCTTTCAAAGGGAAACAGAAGCAGGATAAAATCTTGCCAAGGTATCTTACCCTCCTCACCCTCCTAATGACTTTTTCCCTCTAACTTGGGCTATGTTCTCTGAGTTTGTGGGTGTTTCTTCAAAACAAGGCACTCCACAGTAACACTAGAGATTTACCCAACAAACTGGTGGTGGAGAGGTGGTGGCCAGCTGCAAGGTGAATGTGTTTGTAAAGCAATGGGGTTCTGCAGAGGGTAGTTACTAAACAAACAGTGTTATAAAGACTATCAAGGCTCCAGGAGGGGCCTTTCTGTTCCTGCCAACATTCCACTAAAAACAGAATATAGGGGTTAGGGTTTTTATCCATCCAAGAATCTTCCTTGGAGCTAGGGGTTCCCAGCGTGAGGCAGAGCCCAACCAGGCCACCTGGTATATGTTTGTGTCTAACTGACCAAACCTTTTATCTGCTGAGATTCACAGGAAGGCTCAAAGGTCACAGAGGGGCTTGGTAAGCCCTTGACTTTGGCACTGAGTCGGCCTGCTTTCCATGCCTCTGATCTGCCTGTTGGCAGCAAAAGGAAACTGCTCAGCTTTGGTTTTCCAGTCTCATCTTTCTCACCTCCTGACCCCCCTCCTCTCTGCTCCATCATGGCTTTTACACAATGCCAAGAGTTAACAGAGTGGCTTGGGTTGCATCTTGTGAATTAAGCTCTTCTTTCCTGTTTTGGCAGAGTTTGTTTTTCTCCTGTCTGAACAATGGTGTCTGGAGAAATCTGTGAGCTACCAGGCTGTAGAAATCCTGGAAAGGTAAAGCCTGTGCATAAGGCCTTTGTGCTAGTACCCCTCAGAATGGCTGGCATGCCAGGATCTTTACACAGCACCAGTTGCCCCTTGCCTTGAGGCTTGCTGGGTTTGCACCCTCCTTTACTTGCAAATGTAGCTCTCCTAGCCAGCATCTGGTGTCCAGCAGGATAAGATGCAATGTGTCTGCAGCACAAAAGTCCCTTTAGTTGGTGTCACTGTGAGTCACTCTCCGTTTTCCCCTTACAGGTTTATGGTAAAGCAGGCCGAGAACATCTGTCAGCAAGCTACACTCCAGCTGAGAAATAACAAGACAGAATTGCAGAACTGGAGGGCTCTGAAAGAGCAGCTTTTCAACAAGTTTATCCTCCGTTTGGTGTCATGTGTTCAGCTGGCCAGCAAACTGTCTTTCCACTACAAGGTAAGGAGCCGGGTTGCTCGTAGGCACCAGAGTGTCAGAGAGAAAGCAGCTCACTGAAGGTGGCTGTGAGAAACCCGCCGCTAAGCTAGGCGATACCACTCATGTGGAAATTCCAGAGTGTGATTATACTTCCTAAGCAGACCTCCTGAATACACACACAGTCACACGGAGGCAGTTATTAAATAGCCTCAAGTTCTGTTCCCTGAGTATAATTGCTGGACGGATGCCATCATTCATACAGGTCACCTTTCCTCCCCTTGGACTTAAGGACAGTTTACATAAGGTACCTGAATTACCAACATGCCTATCGGTGTTCAGGACAAATGATTACACCTAAAAAGGATAAACTGTTTCGACATCACTATCCAGTGCCTGTACAGTAAAATCACTCATTCAGCAAATACTTTTGAGTTTCTTCCATGGCCAGATGCTTCAGTAGATACCGTGGCTGCCATAGTAAGAAATATTGTCTGTGCTCTCAAGGGATCTCCTACCTAGTGGGAAAAGGCAGAGGGGTAAACAAGGTGGAAAGTAAATAAAATAAAATAAAAATAGTGTAAATAGAGGGCAAAGAATGAGACTCATCAGCCTTAGGGAGTCATGGACATTTCTTTAAAGAAAATGAATTATTGAAATTGGTAGATGGGAGATGGTGGCCACAAAGAAATTTGAAACAAAATCAGGAAGGGCAGGGAGAAAGGAGTGGGCAGAAGGGAAGGGAAATCCAGCATGTGCCAGCACTTGGAGAAGAGAGAACGTGGATTTGACTGCAGGTAATCCTGCCTGGACAAAGTGGGCTCATGGGCGGGCAGTGGATAGGACCTGCATGCTGACACCTCTCCTCTGCCTTTGTTTTCTGCTCAGATTGTCAGCAACATTACAGTTCTGAGTTTCCTCCAGGCTCTTGGTTACGTACACACCAAAGAAGAACTGCTAGAGTCAGAGCTTGATGTTTTGAAGTCCCTGAACTTCCAGATAAACCTGCCCACTCCGCTGGCATATGTGGAGATGCTCCTTGAAGTTCTAGGTACTTTATTAAATGTGTCAGGAAATGTGGGTTGGAGACTTGCATAGCAGGCAAAAACCAAATATGCCTAGGGATTTGGGAACAGGGGACACAGCCTACCAAAGAGGACCAGCAGGAAACCTGTGCATTTCTAGATGACTGAAAATGTTCCCTCCAGCACTAGTCAGGGAAGGTGATGCAAAGGTCTCAGCACCTTTCTGTTTGGATTTTCTTCTCTGTAACAGCCCAGGCTGTCTGGGAACTCAATTTGTAGCCCAGGCTACCCTCCTAAATGCTGAGATTAAAGGTGTGTACCACCACGCCCTGATCCTTAGGCGTTTTCTTAGTGCAGGATCCAAGAACTGAGTTTATGGAGGAAAGTAAGACAGAACAACTGTACTGTAATTGTATCTATGCTCAGCAGGAGACTGAGCAGGAGCACTACCCAGCACTCACCTTGATGGGAGGCCCCAGCTGGGCTTGTCGAGGTGGAGCTGCACTGTGCCAGTGATGGGGGGGGGGGGGGGGGGGGGGCGGCGGGGGGGGAGGGGGGGGGGGGGGGGGGCACGCACAGCCAGCGGAAGAAGCTGAAGGAGTTGATGATGGAGAAGCAGCCTTGTCTTTTAACCCCTGGTGGCCAAGATTCCCAGGGGCCACAGAGGGGGCCACAGCAGACATAAATCACAGGGGAACACCAGGGCCAGTGTCGTGCGGCAGGGTCCCCCCACTCTGGGTCCCCCCTCTTTGGGTCCCCCCAGCATCCCTGCCCTTTCTGCCAGACAACGTCCCTCTGTTTGTCGCTTATGTTTCTTGCTACTGTGACAAAGTTCCTGCTCTAATTTAAGGGAAGGTTTATTTCGGCTTATGGATATGGGGGACACAGTCCATCCTTGTGGGGAAGGCATGGTTGGCTGGGATCGTCAGTCACAGTGGTGGGAGCCTGTGCCCCATGCTCTTCACTCTTTGCAGGGTCCGGCTGAGCACAGACAACCAAACCAGAAGCAGAGCCCGGCAGTAGCCACCCCCTCCCCCGCCACACGCTCTGCCCCTTTGAACTCTGTCCTCCAGCTCTGCCTCCTATCCCAAGGTCCCACAGCCTCCGGGAAAGGCACCACCAACTGAGAACCACTCATCCAGATACAGGAGATGGTGGGGGACATTTGAGATTCAAACCATGACTGCAGCCCAGGCTGGCTTAGAATTTACCATCCTCCTGCCTGGGGCTTTGGGGCTTTTGGGATTACAAGCCTGTGTCTCTAATCTCCTCTTCTGCCTACAGAAGAGCCATGGCACACAGCTGGGACAGCGGAAAACTGTCCTTTAAAATTAACCTTCTGGCAAGAAACATGCCTTTAATCCCAACAGTTGGGAGGCAGAGGCAGGTGGATCTCTAAGTTTAAGGCTAGCCTGGTCTACAAAAAGTTCCTGGTCAGCAAGGACTACACAGTGAGGCCCTGTCTCAAAAGAAAACTGGCCTCCTGCTAACAGATTTTGCATTGTGGAGTGTAGCAATCAGGAAGCACATTGGCAACTAGCCAGCGTTATGTCGTTAAGATATGGTCAGGGAAGACTTGATGCTCTCGGCCATGCTCCTGCTCCTTGTAGGGTACAACGGCTGTCTGGTCCCAGCCGCACAACTACATGCAACTTGTCTGACCCTCCTCGACCTGGTCTATCTTCTGCACGAACCCATCTACGAGAGCCTGTTGAGGGCTTCAATTGAGAATTCCACACCCAGCCAACTGCAAGGGTAAGAAACTTCTCTAGGGGAGGCTTCTTCTGGGCATGCGCAGTAGAGGGCGGATCATATGACTATGAGGAGTTTCCGGTTTGGAAAGTGGTGGTGGAGTACCTGCCTAGTAAATCCAATACCCAGCACTGAAAACCAACACAGGTTAATTGGTTCTTATTAACTGCCATTATATGGGTCAGACGCCGATGACTAAACCCAGGAAACCCCTAAAGGTTTTTACTATTAAATGTAAATTACCTCAAATAATTAACATTCTTTTCTAGTTCTTCCTTTCCAACTACCTACAATTTGAGAGTGCTAGATTGCTTTTATAGTCACTTGAGGGGGGAAAAAAGCCTGTCACATGGTTATGACTTGGACAAAAGTATTTGATTACTGTAAAGTCAGACTTGCCAAAGCCTCAGTCACATGTTAGGAAGGCAGATGGGACAACAAAAGGCCTGTCAGCCACCCAAGATGCAAGGTGCTTTAATCCCAGCTGAGCTATTCTGACCACTCTTTTTTCTGTGTCTAAAAGTCCAAGATGAGCAGCACGAACAACTCATACTTGGAAGTTCTCTGAGACTATAGGATCACATTCCATACTCATTCCAAAATTAATATGGCTTTAATTATCCAGGGAAAAGTTTGTCTCCGTGAAGGAAGACTTTATGCTGTTGGCAGCTGGGATCATTGCAGCAAGTGCCTTCATCCGAAGCCATGCATGCTGGAGCCAGGTGCGCATCACTGAGCAGGAGCAGCCTGATCAGAATTTGTTTAATAGGAGCAGTCCCCCTCAGTTAAAAGAACTCGGAAGACAGTCTTGCAGAAAAGAAGCGTCAGGACCCAGGAACTGATGGTCAACCAGGAAGAGAGGGTTGGGAAACTAGAGTAGGATGGTAATGTTTCGCTTGTCTTTTATGAAATTGGTAAGAAAGGCCCATGTTCCATTTGTTCATTTGCCTTTGTAGTTATGACCCATGGCATGTTCACATGCCTTTGTAGTTATAGTTTATCTTTTATAGAGGGAAACAAGTAACTAGAAGAAAGAGTTCATGTTACGCTATCAGGGAAATGACACTTGGCCATCAGCAAACATAGGAATCTGGATTTAATTTTCCCACTGTGTTCAGAAAAATGAAAAGCTTGTGAGGCTTGAGAGAATATTTCAAGCAAGTGTTTATGTTTGTGTTTGTGCATGAACGTGTGTGCACAAGCGTTTGTACACTAAAATATGGTGAGATTCCTTAGTGACAGGAAATCTGTCTTTCAAAGGTCGTAGGGCACTTGCGGAGCATCACAGGCATCGCCTCGGAAAGCATTGCCGAGGTCTCTTACGCAATCCTGACTCACAGCGTGGGAGCAAACACTCCTGGGCAACAACAGCCTGTTCCCTACAAGGCAGCCAGAGCTCTGAGGACTGCTGCTTCCTCTAACACATGAGGCTGGCCAAGCCCCGGCGCACAGCCTTCTGTCACTGTATTCTCCTTCTCTCTGTTTACTTTCATACTCGGGGCACAAAAATCTCAAGTTTCCTTTGAACACTATCTTGTATTTCAATTTCAGGCACATTTTTTTTCTACATCAGAGATAGTTATGGGGGAAAACCATGTCTCTTGTGTCATGGCAGGCTGAAAACGTCAAAGAATTGGACAGTTTATGAAATTGGCTCATTTGTGTTTAACAAGACATTTAATTTTTCCTAATTTACTCTAATAGGAAATATCAGATACAGAGATAAGTATTTCTGAGGGTTTTAAAACAGACTTTTGGATGACCTTGACTGAGTATCTCCAAAGTAGCCTTTCTTCTTTTGTTTCCCTACAGCTGATTTTTTATTTGTTTTTTTTGTTTTGTTTTGTTTTGTTTTTTTAGACAGGATCTCACAATTTAGCCCTGGCTAGCTTACACTTCGCTATTCACACCATGCTGGGTTGGCATTCAGGGGGCCACTTGTCTCTGCCTCCTGAATGCTGGGGCTAAGTACCCTCATGCCTGGCTCACTGTTTTATTTTTTTAAACTAAAACATGTTTCAAAGAACTTCTACAGAACTGACTGGAACTCAATTCTTCCAGAGTACAAAATACTCAATTTAAAGAAAAACATACTGGCATACCTCTTGGTAATTAACAGACGGTAGCAAATCCTTTATTACAAATAATTAAATCTCTCTGTCTCAAACAGTATCAAATACCATTCTGTAATTCCAACAGATAACAGAGTAGGTACTCAGTACTAGAGCTCAGAGGGGACAGTTAAAAGTCCCAGCTGCTGACCTGGTGTCCTTCCCCACCTTACCCAACTGTGTGCCACAAACATCATCTCAAAACTTTTCTGTTTCATATTTTAAGTGCAGGAAGTTGAGAGATAAAATCCAGTGAAAACACATCAATGTCAATTCAACTTAAAAAAAAACCAAGCAAATTTAACTTAGCTGTTTTTGGGGGGAAAAGAGGGAAGTCATGGGGCCACGTCAAAACTATGATAGGGCTGTCTGCTACACATGGCGTGCTGTACTCTGGAAACTGTCGTGATATTTTAAAATAAAGTGGCTTTTGGTTGTAAACATGTGGTTTAATATTACCCAAATTTAAAGCATCTTTCCAATCCAAACAAAATGTAAAACCTTAAAAGCAAACATCCCCTAAGGAGTAAGTCACTTGTTATAAAACTGTGAGGACACCCAAGCGAGACCCCACTTGAGATTCGTCAGCATGAACTTGAGTGCTTTCGTCCACTGCTCCTCAGAGTTAAACTGGGTTTTGATGGAATAGGAGCCGCCACTGCCTCCAGTGTCTTCAATCTTGCCTTTCTCCACATCCATCCTGCAGATGGACACAGCAGAGCTCATCAGTAACACAGCCACGAAGGCAGTTCAGGCAAACTGCAACTCCATCATAAGACCATTCACGTCATTTTATCTGATAAAGAATGCCTGGTGAAAAACTACCACTAATATGTTTTAGATTTGCTGGAAAGCCTAAAACCAAAAGCTGTCACAGAGTCTCATTGTACTGCAGAGTACAGGACAGGACACACAGCCAAACAGGTGAGAAGTCTGGAGCAGGGGGAAATGAAGGAAACAATACCCTTCACTGTCTGCCTAGGCATCCTGAACTCAAGGAGCAGAGAGGGAGGCAGAAGAAAACAAAAACTTTGTATTAGGGTGCAAGAAAATTCAACTCTGCCCCTTCCTTTCTCACTACAAAGCACAGACTGACCTTAAAAAAAAAACACACACTTCCTGCCTCAGCCTCCTGAGTGATAGAGTTATGGGTGTGCCCATCTCACCTGCCTTTCCAACTCAGTCTCTTGAACCAGTCTCTATGCTGGGCTGCTACACTAAGAAAAGCATTCTTGTCTATTCCCAAAGGCTGCAGGGAAAGCCTTTCTGAAATGGGACTGCAAACTTGAGCTCTGTGCCAAGAAAATCTCTACCACCACCCAAGAGAATAGTCAGGTGGTCACATAGTTCTGCTCACAATACCAAATTAGTCCTTGTTCATAATGTCATGTGACTGTGCACCATTTTCTTTTTGACCATTTTTTAAAAGTCTGTTTTCATTCACTGGCCCTCTAATTCAGTTTAGTCCTCGCTACAATTTCACAGAGTCTTCAGGGGATACAGGGTGAACACTCACCTGTATGGAAGACAAAATCGAGTCTCGCCTTTCTCCACCTCTTCTTTGAACTGCTGTACACAGTCCAGAAAAGCTACCATTGCATGGTCAAACTTGTTGTCCCAGAAAAACCGCAGTCCCCCAGAACAGTATAATGGCAGCTCCTGCCCAGGGAGAGAAGACTGGCTATGGGCACGCCCCCGTCATTCCGGGGCCTCCAGTCACCCAAGCTTCGCCTGCACCCACCAGAACATGGACTGTAGCTGACCAATGTCTTTTAGAGCCCTCAACAACTTTCAACAGGCACCGGCAAACAGCAACTCTTGGCAGTTTCCTACCAATGGAAATTTACTGAGCTTCAGATATTCCCCTCCCTCAAGTACACACTCTCCTCTGATCTGCCCAGACCCCTTTCTAACAGGTTGTAAAAAACGGAATTTTTTCTACAAACCCCAGAGAGCTAAGTTTGAACAAGAGGCTGGCTCCTTATAAGTTTGTCTGAGAAACTGAAAATGCCAGCTGATATAAAAACTAAGCTTAAAAAAAAAAAGAAAGAAAGAAAGAAAACAAAACCACAAGGCCTCGTGCACTTTAGGCAAGTACTCTATTCCATCCCTACCCCACAACAAACCCATTTTGTTTGGGTAAACAAGAACTCTGTAAGCCAATGAAAAAGGGGCCTCCCAGAATACCTTAGATTTGTCTGTCAGAGACTCCAGGTATGAATGATTTCCATAAGGAACAAGGCGGTACCTGAAGTGGGGGTGCAGAGAAATATATATCAGACTCCTGTAGTGATTACTACAAAGTTGCAATTCAGTAATTTTTTTTTATTTTTTGAGATAGAGTTTCTCTGTGTAACCCTGGCTGTCCTGGAACTTCCTCTGTAGAGGCACCTGGCCTCAAACTCAGAGCTACACCTGCCTCTGCTTCCTGAGTGCTGGAATTAAAGGCCTATGCCACCACCACCTGGCTGCACCCAGGAATTTTCAATCTGCATCTTATCATTTTTTTCCCATCCACTCCCAGCATCCATATTTAAAGTCTTAAATAATTCTATCTATTATATAACTGGGGGAGCATTCATCAAAATAGCGTTAATGTCTGTTTTGGCTTTGTTTTGTTTTGTTTTTTTTGAAATGGCAGGGTCTCCCTATATAGACCAGGTTGACTCTGAACTTTTGATCCTCCTGCCTCAGCTTCCCCAGTACTGGGATTACCAGTGTTTAACACCATGCCAGTTATTTTGGTTTAAAAGATGCATATAACTTGTGGCTTGTGGGTTGTCCTTGTCCCAGGATAGCTATGCCTGAGACTCAATACATTTGCAGACCACAATAACATGTTTCGATATCTAAAGGTTGGACACCCTGGTGGATTTTTTAAAAATGAAGCCTGAAACTTTCTTAGGGAAAAACTAGGTTCTGGAGACTGCTGGGGACCACTGCTGGAGTCTGAGGACTGCTCCACGATACCACAGGCAAGAGCCTTGGGATGAGGGCCCCGATGCCCTCCACCCACAGCAGAGCAGTACCAGGTAGTACAGACACATTGCGTCAAAGACACACTTCACCCGGGCAATACGGAAGAACTGCATTTTCTCACCTCTGAAATTTCAGACCCATCTTATTGGCCAGAGCATGGAGCAGCAACACTGTCTGGCCCCAAGCAGCATTGATTTCATTCCACTCGACAGGAACACTGGGCAAACGACCTAGTCTGAAATTATTGATTGTGCCAAATTGTCCACTGTGCCTACAGGAAAAGGCAGAAAGGGGGTCAGGGGAGGAAAAAGAGGCAAAACTTGAGATTGCCCACTTTTACCCAAAACCTAGCATGACTCCCTCTCCTTTTCTTCATAACTATATACCTAAGCTTCCCCTGGCATTTTAAACGGATGCCCCAAGGCATCATCTTTTCCACGCCAAAGTGGAACTGTGAGAGTCACTGACTATGTTTATGCTCCTCCCCCGATTAAAAAAAACACAAATATCAAAGTCAAAGCCAGCAAACGCCACTGTGTCTGTCTCCTCCCCCTCTTAGATTTTTTTTTTTGATGTGTATAAATGTTTTTTCTTTTCTTCACTTGCATGTATGAATGTGCACCAAGGCATGACTGTTGGATCCCTGGAGTTGGGATTATGGATGGTTGTGAGCCACCACGTAGGTGCTGGAAATTGAAATCCTCTGCAAGAGCAACAAATGCTCTTAACCATGGCCAAGCCCTCTCTTTAGCACCTTCCTACTTGTCTTAAATGTGTCTACTTCTGCCAAGTGTGGTGGTGCACACCTCTGATCCCAGCACTAGAGAAGCAGGGGCAGGCAGACCTCTGTGATTTCCAGGCCAGCCTGGTCTACACAGTGAGTTCCAGGACCGCCAAGGTTGTTACGCTTAGAAGTCCTGTCTCAAAAAAAAAAAAAAAAAAATCTACTTCCCTCCATCTCAAGACTGCTACTCTTTTCCAGTTTAGATGCCCAGCAATGTAACGTCCTTCCCAGCCAATTTCTCACCCGTTATTAAGAAAAGCTATCATTCACAAAGGCAAATGTCCTTCTGTCACTTCCCCGTCTGAAATGCTCCAGTCATTCCCTCTGCCTTCAGGATCAAGTCCAAACGCCTGAATAACGGTAACTCTCCGGTTTCCTATCTCCGCTTGCCCCTTACACTAAGTTTCAGTCACAATAAGATCCTTTCAGTTCTTTCAGTGCACCACTCCCTTGCTCCCGTTTCTCAGCACACGATGTTCTCTGCCAGGAACAACTCCTCTGTAGACCCGTACTTCACTCTCAGCCACATGAGCCTTCTTGGGGAAATTTCCAGGCTTCTTCCCAAACTGGGCAAGTGCCCTCTCGGCTCACCCAGCACCTGGCCTACCGCTATCACACTGTAGCACTCTGCCTGTTTACAAAGTCCTTCCAGGTCACAGGGAACTGCTAGATTGTGTGTGGTCTGTTTGACCCTTCGGGTGCTCAGCACAAGCCTTCCACACAGCAGACACTCAGCGTCACTAATTCAATAGGAAATGCATGAATGGGTCTGGGGTTGATAACTCAGCGCCTGGGGCTAGAGAGAAGCCCAGCTATTGGGATCATTGGCTGCTCTTCCAGGGACCCAAATTTGATTCCTGATACCCACAGTGCAGCTCACAACTTTCTGCTCTTCCACTCCCAAGGGGTCTGACTCCCTCATCTGGCCCTGTAGGCACCAGGCACGCATGTGAACATACGTGAAGGCAAACACACAAACCTAAAGGAGAGGGAGGGAGGAGCGGGCTCAGGGCACCTGCTGGCTTTGTTTGACTTCAGTATTTGTGGGTTCCTGTCAGGGGAGGAGCATGAGCATAATCAGTGACTCTCAGGGTTCCACTTTGGCATCAAAGCAGCTGGGAAAGGTGACTTGGGATTGGGGCATCTGTTT